CTGGGAAAGAAGATACTCTCTACCACATAGAAATCTTGCATGAGGACATCCCGCTCTGGTTTGGTACTTAGGCTCCCCACAGTGTGAGTAATGCCTAGCTGGATGGCACCTTTCAAGGCTGATGAGGTTGTCTGAGAAACAGAAATAAGAGGAAGTTTTCAATATAATGCCTGATCATAGCAACAAAAACTGAGGAGGAAAGAGTTAGAGGTAACACTGGAAAGCAAATGCTAGGGCAGTAGTTTTCCATTTAAAATAAATAGCAGTTAAGCAGTGAAGATACAGAATCACCAAGAGATAACAATATGAGCTAGGCAAGGTGTTCATTTCTATAACCTACTTAAACAAAGAGTTATTCCTTTACACTTGGCAGATACATTGTATTGAACAACAACTATTAGGTTCTTGCCTTCAGGGTGCCTAAGACCCTCTAAACATTTCATTCAATTGACACCCCACCCCCCCCAAAAAAAAAGTTTAACTAAAATTAACAAATACTCTAATTGGCTACCTGGCTACACAAACTTCAGTTCCCCTCTAATCAAGATCTTATTAGTGTCCCAAGGATGAGAATGGCAAAGGGTTCCTAACTTAGGAACAAAGTACAAAAGACTCAAAATTATTTTTGGGAAATGAAAACATAAAGTCTCACTTTCACAACCCATGATTTCACCAAATATATCCTACATATTTGAAATGAAAAATCCACTTTCTCAGTCTTATTAGTCACATTTTTAGTGGCTAGCTAGTGACAGCTAGTTGTACCAATTAGACAACAAACACAACACCTATCAGTCTCTCTAAGTTTCATTAGAGAACTCTGCTCTAAATTATTTCCTTCATCCCTATAATGCCCATCAGATATTACTTTTATTTCTATTTGGTCCTCATTGGACATTAAAATTGTAACTATGTATTTGCCTCTCCAAATAAGACTAGAAATTCACATTTTTAATCACAATCTTCAGTAAATAAAAATAGTTCAATAAATGTCTACTGAATTGTCATGGGCTTTAGAGTCTATTCGAGCATAAGGTCTCTGAGAATAAGAAGTCAGCCTACCCCTGACTACTTCAACAACACAGTAAAGGCAGAGAACAGATACATAGGAATCACAGGCCAGAAAAAGGACACTAGGAAATTTGCAGGTCCGTTATCACATTAAGTGGGCTGAACATTGTCCTTAGGGAAATCTAAGTATCTCTCTGTCGAGAACTGAGAAACGGGGATCACTTCTGAATGGTTCTCTTCTGCCTTCCCTCCATCACAGCTCAATTTCATTTTATTAGCTATGACAAACATCTTTCCACTATTTCGGTATGTATCTACAATTCTAAAACCACATTTCCTAGTCACTAACCATCAGCTGAAATATAACACTTTATTTATTTATTTTTAAAATATCTCTTAAAAGTTAAAAAAGGAAAATGACAGAAAACCACTAAACCTACGGCATATCCACTTCATGTATACCAAGTAATAGAAGAAAAACAGACTTCTCACATACAAATAGGAAACAATTCCCTTTTTGAGAAGTAAATTCTAAATTTCAAGTTGTATGATGAATATTATGCCAAAGATTGTTGGGCTATCAAAAAATGGGGTAAAATTCAGGGGAATAGTATCAAAGGACAGAGCTGTTCTCCATTTAGTCCTAGATGAGTAAGATGAAAAAGTCTACTCGGAGGGGAGCTCTGGTGGCCTAATGGCAAGAAGGTGCAACTACAATCCCAGAGGTGCATGGTTCGAATCCACCAGATGCCCTGCCGGGGAAGGAGGGGCAATCTCCTCCTGTACCAGTCAGATCTGATTTGACGGTACATGCACACAAAAATAATAAAGTGGGGGGGAAAAAAGTCTACTCCGACACACCTTTTTATATGTTGTCTCTCCTGAGGAATCAACACCTCGGTGGCCTATTTTCTTAATGGTCATGCCAGAAGTAGGAGGTATCTAAAAAAAGATGAGTCAAGATTAGCATACAGTTCCTAAGCAAGAGACTAAACAGCTTCCCTGATGATAAAACATCAAAAAACATTCAGCACATCATTTCTCCGTTGTTCTGTTAAGTGCCAGTGAGCTGGTTCCAATTCCTAGTGACCTTGTGTGCAAGAGAACCAAGAATTGCCTGGTTCTGGTTATCCTCACAGCTATTATTATCACGTTTGAGGCTGCTGTTGCAGCCACCATGTCAATCCATCTGAGTCTCTCTCTCTCTCTCTTTTTTTTTTTGTGAATTGATTTGGGGTTTTTTTGAGTCTTTCTTTTTTGTTGTCCCTCTACTTTACCAAATATGACATCCTTCTCTAGGATAAGTCATGTCTAAAATATGCAAGATGAAGTCTTACCATCTTCACTCCCAAAGAACATCTGGGCTATATTTCTTCCAAAATAGAACAGTTTGTTCTTCTAACGTAACAGTCCACAATACAGGCAATATTCTTACCAACACCAAAATTTAAAGGCATAAATTCTTTTTCTTTTTTTATATATGATTGAGTATTATGGTTAGCACAGGAATCCAGAATTAAGGTTGCCTAGAGAAGTGTACTCAGGGTGGGGGGATGGGGGAATTCTATACTAATGAAGGAATTTTTTTTCCCCTTCTTTTTCTTTTCAGAGAGGGGAGCGAACTGGTGGGGAGGGGTGGGCAGGGAGAAAAGTGCGGAAATGAATGAATGGAAATCCAAAACCTCTGTAAATGTCTATTAAATTTTTTTTAAAGGCATAAATTCTTTTTCAATCTTCCTTATACACAGTCCAGTTTTCACATACCTATGATGTGACTAAAAATACTATGCTTAGATCAGGTATAAGATTCACCCCACATATGCACACAGCTACAATTCTGCTTCCCAATGCATTAAGTGACTAAAACAACATAAAGAAAACTCTAAGGGATACATACTTCACTCTTGGTTCTTAGAAAAATGCTTTGTTGTTGTTGTTAGGTGCCCCCAAATCAACTATGACTCATAGAGACCCTGTGAAAATGGATCTGAACTCTACCCTGTTCTATGACATCCTCACTATCTCGGATACATTTGAATATTCTGTTATCCTCACTGTGTCAATCCATCTTGCTGAAGGTTTTCCTCTTACACCAACCCTCCACCTTTCCAAACATCATGTCTTTTTCCAAAAACTGGCCCCTCCTAACAATGAGGCCAAAGTATGTAAGACATGCTTAGAAATTAAGAAGGAGTATCACTGAAGAAAAGTAGAAACAAGTACAGAATAGTAGCTTCAGAAAAAAGGATTACTCTCAGTTCACAAAATGTTAGCTTAAAAGTGGAAGTCCAGGGAGCTCTGGTGGCCTAGTGGCAAGAAGCTACACTGCAATCCCAGAGGCATAAGGTTCGAATCCACCATATGCTCTGCTGGAGAAGAAGGGACAATCTCCTCCTGTACCAGTCAGATCTAATTTGGCAGTACACACACAAAAAATTTAAAAAAAAAAAGTGGAGGTAAAAAAAAAAAACCCTTCTGTTTTCAACTCAAAACCCCACTACTGTTAAGCCCAACTCATAGTGACCCCTGCTATGGGTTTCTGAGGATGTAAATATTTACTATTTACAAGAGACTACACATCTATACATCTTTCTCCTATGGAGCAGTTGGTGACTTTAGACTGCCAACTTTACAGTTAGCAGCCTGACATGTTACACCCTAAACTACCAGGGCTCCTTTTCTTTTTCACTAGCTTCCTTTAAGATAGTACTCTCTCACCCTCAAGAAACCATAACCGCCAACCAAGAGCACTCATGTTCATTGTGGCTTTGTTCACAATAGCAAAAAGATGGAAACAACCTAAGTACCCATCAACAAATGAATGGACAGAGAAACTCTGGTATATTCACACAATGGAATACTATGCTGTAATTAAAAACAAGGAACTCATGAAATATTATACAAAATGGTTGACCCTGGAAGACATTATGCTGAGTGAAATATCTCAGTCACAAACAGAAATACTGCATAATGCCACTGTTATAAAAGAGGACTGACAAAGAGGTTAAGGGGAGACTGAGAAAGAGGAGATAAATAATATATTCTGCATTGAAACAGATGAGGGAGAGAACTATTTAAAAATGATATGTGGTTAGATATTATTGTCATGACAGGAGTCTAGAATGAAGGCAGCATAGTGAAGTGGACGTGAGGGAAGGGATTGTGTAACTATCAAAGAGTTTTTCTTTTACTTTTCAAAGAAAAGAGTGAACTGGGGGGAGGGGTGGGCAGGGAGAAAAGTGCAATAATGAATGAACAGAAACCCTAAGTCTCTGTAAACTTTCATTAAAATTAATTTTTAAAAAAAGATCATAAGTTATGAACAAGGTAAAAAAAAGAAAAAAGGAATTTCTCTCTCTCTCATCTCTTTAACTGTCTTGACAACCTAAAATATCTAGCCACTGTCAAATGTAATCCAAAACTCAAGAATTATAACACTGAGAAAGTAAAAAAGATCTTCTGAGAGTGCCTTAGTGCCTCCTATTCCTATAACTATCCCTAAAATAAGTGAGAAGACTAGGAGAGCAGAGTCCAGAACTAGCTATTCCCAAAAGTCAGTATGCCAGAACAACAGACATGAAGTTACTCTTCATGATTTCAATACTCATTAAGTTAGTAAGCTAACAGGCAAAAAGACCAGAGGAAAAGAATGTCAACCTTATTAACCTGATATTCAAGTTAGAACTGATTCATAGCTGACCTTATTTGTATGGGAGGAGACCATCCATCTTTTTCTCACGGGACAGCTGATGGATTCAAACTGTGTGTCTCTGGGTTGGCAGTGCAGCTCCTTACAACTAAAATCTACAAGGTGGTTTTTACTCTGCCCTACAGGGTCACTCTGGTGGCTTAGTGATAAGGAATAATGCTGCCAACCCAAAGGCACACAGTTCAAATCCATCAATAGCTCCTTGAGATAGGTAATTCATTGGCGGCTCCACAGAAGAAAGAGGGACAATCTCCTCCTCAGACATTTACTGCCTCTAAAAAACTGACAGACTAGCCAAGCATCAGTTCTGACTCAATGGTAAACAACAACAGGGTCACTAGGAGCGGAAAGGTTTCGGATCGAAGCCAAGAACCATGCCAAGACAGAGGTAGAATTCTTCTCAAAGTTTATTGTGTGCCAGGCTACTCAACAAGGGGAGTAGCCTGGGGGTTGGGCTTAGGGCAGTTTACATGGGGTTTCAGCAAGTGTGTTTAGGGGGCTGTGAGATGAGTTTGACGTTGCAGTAGCTCACTGGTGCATAAAGTTTCTGGTCTTAGGAAAAGATCCTAATACGGAGTTTTCTGAGTTCTGGTTTTGGAAAATACCCTGACATAGGATTTTCTGAGTTCTGGTTCTGGGGAATGTCCTGACATAGGATTTTCTGAGTTCTGGTTTTGGAAAAATATCCTGACACAGGATTTTCTGAGTTTTGGTTTTGGAAGATGTCCTAAAATAGGGATTTCTGAGTTGAGCCTCAACCTCCGTTTTGATTTCTAGCCTAACATGAGTCAGACTCAACAAGACAGTAAACAAATATAATATAAAATTAAAGAAGTGGAATAAATGCGAGACATTAATAATATCCATAATAAATGGTAATAAAGGAAGATCAAGAAAATCCTATTAAATAGTTCTCCTCTGTAACACACAGGCAACCATGAGTCAAAACTGACTTGATGGTAGCAGATTTGAATTTTTTTTTATTGTGTGTAATTGACACTAGTCTGAAGTAAGAGTTTGTCTACCTTTTAAAACCTAACCAAAGGGAAAAGATATTTTAAACAAGTATCCTATCCCATAATTAGTTTTAGTAACCACTTTATCAATATGAAACTTACCTCAGATGCCGTATGTCTCTTCATTACAGATGCTGTTAAGGAAAAGAAAAACTAATTACAAGTGTGTACACACAATCTCTGTCAAGTATATTCAAAGATTAAGTGTTTGAATCAAACCAGATAATGAGCTCTTGTCCTTGTTCAATGACTCAAGATTCTTTTGCATAGGGTTTTCTTTTTTTTATTTTATTTTATTTTGTACTGGTTTACTTCAAAGTTCATACATTGTTTTTCATACTGGATATGTGCCATTTCCTTTACCCACCCGTCCACAAACTGATCGAATGGGAATCCCAGAACACTTTATCGTTCTAATGCGAAACCTATACTTGGACCAGGAGGCAGTCGTCAGAACAGAGCAAGGGAACCCTGCATGGTTCAAAATTGGGAAGGGCGTACGCTAGGGATGCATCCTATCTCCACACCTTTTCAACCTATATGCAGAACAGATTATCTGGGAGGCTGGGCTCTATGAGGAGAAATGTGGGGTCAAGACTGGGGGACAATTTATCAACAATCTGCGTTATGCAGATGACACAACCCTGCTTGCTGAAACTGAAGAGGACCTGAAGCACCTGCTGCAGAGGGTCAAGGACTACAGTCTACAATATGGATTGAGGCTCAATGTCAAGAAGACAAAGATTCTCACCACTGGACCAATTGGCAGCATCAGGATGGATGGTGAAGAGATTGAGATTGTACACAGCTTTAGTTTGCTTGGCTCTGTAGTCAACAGTCTTGGCACCAGCAGCCAGGAAATTAAAAGGCGCATTGCCATGGTAAAATCTGCTGTTAGGGACCTCTCTAAAGTACTGAAGAGCAACGGTGTCTCTCTGGACACTAAGGTGCGTCTGATACAGGCCATGGTCTTTGCAATCACCTGTTATGCATCAGAGAGTTGGACAATGACCAAGGAGGATAGAAGGAGAACTGATGCCTTTGAGCTGTGGTGCTGGAGAAGAGTATTGAGAATACCATGGACTGCTAGGAAAACAAACAGATTTGTCCTGGAAAGGGTTAAACCGGGTGGCTCCTTGGAGGCAAAGATTCTGAGGCTCCGTCTAACATACTTTGGACATGTTGTGAGGAGAGACCAGTCCTTGGAGAAGGACATCATGCTTGGGAGGGTGGAGGGACAGCGCAGGAGGGGAAGGCCCTCTATGAGGTGGATTGATTCAGTGACTGGGATAATCAGGATGGGAGTGTCAGAGACAGTGCGACTGGCACAGGACAGAGCAGAGTTTTAGGCTGTTGTACATGGGGTCGCTATGAGTCGCAGGCGACTCGATGGCACATAACAAAAACATGATTAACCACCACAATCCCCCACCCATAGTCAACCCTCTGGTCCCACCCTCCTTCCAGAGTGGGTGTGTCATTTTACAATCCCACCAACATTGTATAAGAGTTCCTATCTTGCCACTTCCTCTCCAACATTTATTACTTGCTATTGGATAGGGATTTTAAATGGCCTTTCCTCCTTTGCTGCCACCTTCACAGATTCCTAAACACATATTCAATCCTTATGTATCCCTTTTCTTGTTCAAATATTAGTATTTTCTCTGAGATATAGATAGATAAATACAGTTTTGATACAATTTACCAGTAGAGCCACAAGGCCTCATTTGATAATGATAGCTGAAAAGAGAAAGGGCTTAAGAGATAATCAAGAAAGTCTGGGACTTGATTAGGAATTCTTTTTCTTTTAAGAACTAAAAGAGTAAAAACTTGTAGTGTCTCTCTATGGTGCTTTACTCCTGTGGTAATGATTCTACAAGAAGGAGCTGATGAGGTTGTAATGAGTCTATGGAGACTGAAAAAGAGATGATGTACTGTCAAAATAATGAAAAAGAATTCAGTCCAGGCAGAAACTAACTCCTCATCCTGACTTCTGATGGTTTAAAATTTACTTATTTAGTGCAGACCTGAAAGGCAATTATGTAGTTAAACATCACAAGTATTATTTATGACCTTTATCTACTTATGTACTTTAAGAGCAAAGACATTTACGAAGTGTCAAAAGGGTATATCTTATACATCTGCTATGAAAGGTTAAATCAATTAGAAAGGTTTTGCAATCCCTATAACCTTCAAATATGTGACACTAAGGTAGACAGACTTTGCTTCCTCATTCTGAAGAAAATGGATGTTTGAGAAAGACTCCTGTAGTCACAGAGCTGGACATGACTAGGGTGATAGAAAGAGAATTGATGCCTCTGAGCTATGGTGCTGGAGAAGAGTGTTGAATATACCATGGACTGCTAGAAAAACAAACAGGTTTGTCCTGGAGAGGGTGAAGCCAGGTTGCTCCTTGAAGGTAAGGATTCTGAAGCTTAGTCTGACATACTTTGGGCATGTTACAAGGAGGGACTGGTCCCTGGAGAAGGACATCACACAAGGGAAGGTGGAGAAACAGCACAGGAGAGGAAGACCCTCAATGAGATGGACTGAATAGCCACTGGGGCAATGGGGGTAGGTATGACAGAAACAAAGTTGGCACAGTACAGAGCAGCGTTTAGGGCTCTTGTACTTAGGGTCGCTATGAGTTACAAGCGACTTGACGGCATATAACAAAAACAACAATAAGGTAGCCATTCTGAAAGTCAAAATGATGAACTATTTAAAAATCAGAACTCTTACACTAAAGACCCAAAGGCTCTTTTCAGACCCAAAGACCTAAAGGCTCTTTTCAGAGCCAATTTAAAAAAAAAATTCAAATCAGAATTCTTAGAAGTCAAATCCCTGTTACATAAGCAAATTCGTTTTTAAAAAAATTTTTTTTGCAAATTAGTTTAACTTTCCTTTTTAGAAAAGGAATCTCTATTAGAAGATCTATGTAAAGATTAAATTATTTAAGCAAAATCAAAGTACTTTATGGAATATTACATGCTATAATAGGAGTCTCTTCCATTTAGCTTTTCTGGCCATGGGTTTGTAACTTTGCCTGCTTATGCCACAATCTTAACAGGACTGGTCTGACAGGTCAGTATACTATTCAAGTGGAGAACTCATCTCACTGTAGGAATTAACTAAAGGCTGGCCCTCCATTGATTTCCTATAAACCACATACTAGACTGCCCAACTTTCTTTTGAGGAGTTGGTAGATTTGAGCAGCCAGAAGTGATTCAAATAAACAGTGCAACTCCCTATGGACTAGGTCACCAGAGTACCCTGACAGGGTAGTACTAAAAACACTCAATAGAACTAAGTAACCTGAAAGTAGGAGGGAAGAGACTGGTTGATTATCATGTCTTGAAAGGAATTCTAGTGGTCTAGTGGCAAGAAGCTGCACTGCCAACCCAAAGGCATGCATTCTGAACCTGTCAGCTGCTCTGTAGTGAGAAAGATGGGCAATCTTTCCTCCTGTGTGATTTACAACATCTGAAAACTCACTGGATGGTCAGCTATGAGTCAATTCCAATTCAACACTCCATAACAACTAGTAACAAAATCTCACAGAATTTGGAGGGGATACACTACAACCAAGAAAAATCTGGAGCATTCTACATCCTTTAGTCAAAGAGTTGGAATCCCTGTGCTAAGACTCTTTTAGATTCAGAGAAAGAGAGCTTTAACACTGAAGATGAGTACAGAAAAGTGTAGCAACTACAGGAGATTCCAGTAGTAGAGAAACAGCTGCAGCAGTAAGAGCATCATGGAACTGGTTGACAGCTATAAAGGACTCGCTAACACATCAGAGGTAAGAAGACTTTCAAGCAGGAGTCTTGCTGATGAAAAGAGCTTTTGAGCACTTGTCAGTGGAACTTAGTATCTTTTATCAAGGCAGAGGCTGCAAGAAAGTCTACAGGGCGTGACAGAGACAAAAGAAAGGTCTGTTGCTGATGCAGCCAAAGAAAAAGCCATTGGCAGGGGAGCTCTGGTGACCTAGTGGCAAGAAGCTGCACTGCAATCCCAGAGGCAATGCAGTTCAAATCCACCAGATGCTCTGCTGGAGAAGGAGTGACAATCGCCTCCTGTACCAGTCAGATCTGATTTGACGGTACACACACATACAAAATGTTAAAAAAAAGCAAAAAACACCATTGGCTAGTGGTGGAGACCCATCAGCTGGTGGGTCTGGCCAACAAAAGAGCTGTTGGCTAGTGTGACAAAAGGGTTTTCCCGTGGGCATGGCTAAAGAGGAGATGAGAACCATCCTGGAAACAGAAAAATGAACTATACTTTATCTCTTATGTTCTGTTACTTCCAAGTTGATCTTGAGTTACTCCCCTAATAAACCACGTAGAACCTGTGAGTTCTGTGTGATCACTGCAATTGATAAATTATCAAGCTCAGTAGGGAAGCAGAGTGTCACGGGGAGGATAGCTGGTATTAGAAATGGAGAAAAGTGGAAAGAGTAGAAGTTTGTCTGGCGTCTACTTCGTAGGAATCAGTTTTGTGATGATCCTTATTTTTTTTTTAAATTTTATTATTTTTGTGTGAGTGTATTGTCAAATCAGATCTAACTGGTACAGGAGGAGACTGTCCCTCCTTCCCCGGCAGAGCATCTGGTGATGATCTTTATTTTTATCCCACTTCTAGAAGTTAGACAAGTTCAAATACTAGTAGATTACAATGTGACTTTTAATGCAAGAGCAATGTTACACTCATATAGCAAGGTTTAACTTTCACTCATCTACATCTTCATGAAATTCCAGATGACATCCCTAAACCCTGTCTCCTTCCTCCACATGCATGTGCACATATCCAACCACAAACTCAGTGATTATCAATGAAGAAATCAATGTGTTTTCATTTGGACACAAACAACACATACTCTAGAGTTTTTTGTTTTGTGTGCTTGTTGTTGGTGTTCAATCTATCCTTTTCTCCTACTCAAGAGAAAGAAAGGCATTTTGGAGAATCCTATAGAAACAAGAGCCAGGACCCAATTCTAAACTAGCAGGAACATCCAGAAAGTAACTTCTGTATGCAAGAAGTCAGTGCACAAGGCTAAACAATGGGGAAGGAACATGTAAGAATTTCATGGCAGAGAATAAGTCTGGAACGTTCTTTTTTTACTAACTAGGTT